TTGGAATGAATGGTGAAAAAAAACGGGGTTTGTCCAAGCGGCAAACTGTGGGGTAGAGCCGGGAAGCCAATACGGAAGTGCCACACACTGCAGTTCATATATTGGCCGATAGGCGATGGCTGCAGAAAGGAGCAATTTCCATAGACCCCTATGTTAAAATGCCCGATTTTACAGCAGAAAAAAACATGTTTCTACCCCTGGCTCCATACATTTTATTATCGATATAGTTAGATTCCACCTTCATGATTATGGATCTGTGAGTGAATTGTTTTCTAACGCGACCCTTTATATTTATATTAGGTCTTAAAGTTTGTGCATACATTAGGGCGTGGTCACTTTGATTGACAGATACGTGCCTCACTGTCAGCTAACAGCAACTTGTCCAATCTGCTAGGCTACAACGTTAGTTAGTTGTAGTTACTGTACTTGATCCTTTAGCTGTGTTCGTGGTGATCGTGCCTGTTAGGGAATATTGTTACAAATACCAGATAATTAAAATGTCGTGCTGTGCGCTTGAATGTACTAACAGATCTTCCAAGAAGTCTACTTTCAGCTTTTTTCGGTGAGTAAAATGATAATATTATACATGTTAACCCCGTTAGCAGGTGTTTGTGTGCTTGTTAGCTTAGCCTGTTATGTAGCTTATTAGCCAGCTAAGGACGTAACCCTTTATACATATATACAGTTTAGTTTATGATTCAGCCTTGGGTAAGACTTTTATACTATATGGCTATGACGCCCATAATGCTAAACAGGAGCAAATGTTAAAAGGGGTGGGCCGCCGGAGTCCACGCCGCCGAAGCTAACGGGGCTGCAGGGTGCTAGCTCGCTAGCGCGTCCCGGCGGCCGTAGCTAGCACCCTGGGGCTCCGTTAGTTTCGGCCAGCGGCGGAGTCCGGCGTTATAACTGGAGATCAAGGAATGCATCGTAACGCGGACTTGGTTCGCCTGCAGCCCGCTGTAGTATTAGCTAAATAAATGATGTTGAGCAAGGCTTATTAAGCTGAACACCGCCACAATTATTCTGCTATGTATCGGTACTTATTTTATTTTATTAACGTGTGAATGACAAGCATTAAGAATAATACCAAATAGCTAATTATCTTGCAGATTGTCTCGTTTGATTATGAATGTAACGTTTATATAGTGGAATTACACTGTTTTATCAAAACCAAAGTGCCACGCAGTGACTTGGTATGCATGTATTTCAGCAGGAAATGTGCAACCTAGATGACATTTACCAACACAGACTATATAGAAATATTTGTAAAAGTTGTTCATGCGTTACTAAGTGAATATGGCATTAACCCTCCTGTTGTCTTCGGGTCAAATCTGACCGATTTACTACTTTCATCAATCATGTTTTACATTCGATTGATACTGAGAGCATGTTAGCTTAGCTTCTTAGCCTGAGCTAGGACTCGAAGTCACGCTCGTTGGCAGCAGGTCCCGCCCTGTCCCGCCCTGTCCCGCCTCGGCTCCGCCTCTTTGCCCTTATTTGGAGAAGGCGGGAGAAGGCGGGAGTTAGACTCTGACGACACCGTCGAGCCGTTAGTGGCCGACTCCGCCTACTAAGGGCTTCTCGGCAACTCTGCAGAATCCTATGGGTGACGTCACGGACCCTACGTCCATTTATATATACAGTCTATGGGTTTGTCAAACAGAGCACATGGTGTAGTCCTAAACGATAGCTGGGGATTCTGGGTAGTGTCTTCTGCCATCCTTTACTCGGAAAAAATATTTGTTTCTCCGAATCGAAAGGGAAAAATACAAAAGCATTGCACACAATTTAAACCAATCAATGTTGTGTAATTAACAAGGATAATCTGGTGTTTTTTAGTCGATGAGTAGTGCAGATATCACTGTAAAATCAATCAACAGTAAGGGGAATACTTACTTCCGGGTGTACAATTCTCCGTTATCCAATGGGAATGGACGCTCACATTGCCTTTAAGGTCAGCCGACACAAACGAATGCTGTGCTTCCATGAGCGTCAAATCCCGCCGCAGATGGAAATACATTGCAATCAGTTGAAAGCTATTTGCGTCCCTTTATGAAGCTGAAGGAGCCTAGGCGCGTCACAACTGCACGCCACGGGACCCTGATCAAACGTTGCTCCTGGACGATTATGGAGTGAGAGTGTGTTGTACAGTGACATGCTTTTATGCACATTTTGAAAGGTAAAATGAAAGAAAAACTAAGTAAGATGCCCCCCAAGAAAGCAGGTGATCAAGCGCTTTCACTTGCCGAAACGTGCCTTAAAGGCGCCCTATTTTGCTTTAGGGTTTTCTCTTTCCTGTAATGTGTTATTTAGGTTTGATTGTCGTGCAGCCACAGCACAGGCAGTATGAGAAAAAGAAAGACCTTTTTGAACATTAAAGCCTGTAAACATGTCACAGTAGAGGCACAAAATACAAATATGAACCTGAAAATGAGCATAATATGTCCTCTTTAAAAATGTTTATAGTGCTTCGGTAGCAGGCAGTAGATAGGACAAATACAATAAAAAAAATTGCTGGGAGATATTTGTTATGCTCTGTATAAAAAGGTATTGTTAGTAAAGCAGGGTTGAATATGAGATTAAATAACTTATTTTCAGCTGTAGAAGTTTAGATCGTTTTTTGTGTGGATAAGACTCGTAGCCGTTCTTACCCTTGGGTGTTCTGCATGAAAGGGGGTTATAATCCCCAGATATCATGCGCATGTAAACACACTTGAGTTAAAGCTGTAGGTCAGTATGTTCAACCCGTAGTCATTGTTATAATTTAAAATCAATATGTTCAGAAATACTCTACCAGAGAGTCCAAATAGAAACACCCCCTCTGCTCAGCCCCCTGAGGAGCAGTTTAATGTGGATCTAGAGCCGATTAGCAGGCTGAAGCTAAATTCTGTAATCGCTGAGATGGGCTTAAACAAAACTGATCGGCGGTCTCCTCAAGGTTACTTGAGTGCTGTATATTCCTATAACCTGTCAGTGTTCACTCAGGCAGTCAGCCTTTTCACTCATGTTCAGGTTTTGATTTGCATAGTAAATGCGTTCCAAAAAGCCCTTTTTAATGTAGTCATTTCCTTTCTGTACTTGCGTCCTTCAAGTCTCTTGTTATCCTTTTCCCAAACAACTTGTCTTGTATCCCAGGTCATTTAGTTTTATCTTGATTATATTGCAGCAAGTTGACTCATCTTGTTTAAAGGGGACCTATCATGCAAAATGCACTTTGTGATGTCTTTTATACATAAATATGTGTCCCTGGTGCGTCGGGGAACTCACGCAGCGTCAGAAAATAAAACCCTCTCTTTTCCTCCGTACCCAAATCTGTTAATTTGTTTTTTTTTCAAGCTAAGGACCCAAGATCCGCGTTTCTCTAACAGGGCTGCAAAAGAGGGGTTTGAGCAGTATGAGGCATGGCTACAATGGGTGAACTGTTCGGTATTTTGAAAATAAAACTTCACAGACATGTTTTGTATAGGTATGGCCCTACAATATATTTTTCAAATATAGAATGATAGGTCCACTTTAACAGAGGTTTATTTTTCTTTTAAAATCTTTTTTTTATATGGATAGGCCTTGACCTTAACATTTTAAAGGTTAGGTTGGATAGGTCGAAAGGAACGTGAGAGTTTTGAGCTACGCTTTTGAGAGAGGGTACATGTTGGTATCCACCAGGCCATAGTGAAGTTAAGTTCAGAGAAACCTTTAAAGAGGGAAAATGTATGGGAGACTTGCAAAGCTGCGTAGGGTGGGAGGTAAAACAAGTTCACCTGCAGGCATGACGGTTCCGGTGTGGGAAGTTTGCCAAAGACTCCAGACACCACATCTTCATTGAACTGCAACATTCAGAAAGCTAACCCTGGTGGTGATACGCTTAATCAGCAACTCATTCGGCAAGGGCTTGAATGGGACCGATCTTTTTTTTTTTTTTTTACTACTCTGGATCAATAGGTAACCCTGTTTTACCCTGCCTTTACCATAGCAGTCAGATCAGGGTTTGTAGTTTCTTTGGGATTTCTAAAGTTGTGCCTTGCTCTGGGGCATAACGTTAGGTGGACTGCTATCATTAGTCATGTTGCTAAAATCACATGTACAAGTACTTTCCATATCTAATCAGACCTTTAAATCTAGTAAAAGCTAATTGTTTACTTCATTCAATGAACGAACAATTAGTGTGACCCTGAAATGATTTGAAAAGTGCAAAGAATCCATCCACTCCCACCTATTGCCAATCAATGAAATGTATTAAATTCCAAGGCAGGAAAAACATAAAGAAGGGCAAAAAGATAATACACACGGCATCTATTGCACGTCTGTCCGTCCTGGGAGAGGGATCCCTCCTCTGTTGCTCTCCCTGAGGTTTCTCTCATTTTTCCCTTTAAACTGTGGGTTTTCTCCGGAAGTTTTTCCTTGTACGATGTGAGGGTCTAAGGACAGAGGGTGTCGTATTGTCATACTGATATTTTGTACAAACTGTAAAGTCCACTGAGACAAATGTAACATTTGTGATATTGGGCTATATAAATAAACATTGATTGATTGATTGATAATACGTGACCACCATTATGGAAACATACGAAAAGCAACAGCTCACAGTGAGAGCGAGAGAAAGAGAAGCCTATCAGAGATATTTGGGTTGTTTTGTTTCCTTTGTGCCGTTTTGTGCCAGCTCTCTTTAACTTATTTATGATTCAGGGGACTCGCAACTACAAAACAAATGGGGAAAATATGAGGAGGACAGAAAACAAATGAGGAGGTTAAAACTGAGAATCAGGCAAGAAGATCAGCGAGAACCCAATGGGAGCAGAGAAATGTATTTTGCTCCAAGAGTCCTTTAAGGTGAACGGAAATGAAGGACCCTGATGTGAAAGAAAAAGACAAGAAGGGGAAAAGGAGGAGAGGGAGTGGGGTGTTTCCCAGAGGCGGAGATGTGTTTGTGTGTGAACTAATCTCTCCCTCTCTGTCTCTCTCTCCCCCACACACACACACACACACACACACACACACACACACACACACACACACACACACACACACTCCCTCCCTCTCTCACAGTCACTCAGTTGCAACAACACGCTCACCGAGGTCGGCAGCACAAAGCAGAGACGCTGTCTTACCAGCTTTCACACACACTTTCTCCACACCTCACTCGAACACACGCGCGCAGACATTCAACACACACCTCTTCAGCAACACCCGGGGAGCTGAAGCCTAACTGACGAGAGGAAGGAAGGACACTGGTGAAGAGAAGAAGAAGTAATAGAAGCTGAAGAAGAAAAGATAAAGACACATTTTGTAAACCATCAATAAGGTAAGACTTTTATTTTATCTCATCCATTCAATCACAGCTTATCTGTATTTAAAAAGCCACCCACTGTGTAAATCACTGCCAATGTTTACACAAAGTGAAACGCAAACATCAATTAGAACACAGTGTAAAGTCTCATCTCATGCTGCAGGGTAGGGGTACCTGTACAGTATCAGTGGGCAGAGTCTATCTCCCCTCACTCTCTGCAAGTTCTTGAAATCTCTCTCTCTCTCTCTCTCTCTCTCTCTGTGTTACACGTTCATAAAACCACATGCGCTCCAGAGGCTTGTTTGTTTACCTTTCACCTGGCAATACGTAAGTTATAATGAAGAAGAAGAAGAAGAATTTATATAGAAGAAGAATTGATGTTTGGGCTTTTAGTCACAAAGGCTGACATGTGGAGAAAGAATGGGGAAGTGAAAGGTTCACTCATCTTTGTAGATGAAGTTGAGGAGGTCTTTTTTGTGTGTGTGCGTTCAACCATGCGCTGGGTGTATACAAAATCAGAGGCAGAGTGAGATATGAGGTGAAAGCAGAAGGAAATTGCTTTAGGAGGAAATCTAACAAAGAGTGTATAGTGTCGTGGGTGCTAATGCACAAGAGCACTTCTTAGTTTTGTTACGCACTTGTTCCTTTACTTTAGTGACGCAAGCAATCTGAAGAAATTACTTTTTGCACCTTGACAGAAACAGTGTTTTTGACGTTTCGCGAGGATACTGGCTTGGTAGTCGCGTACTTCCAAGTCACTTCCTTCAGAAACGAACAGTGACGTGCGGTGTGAGGTTCATGGCTGGTGAGGCACTGACTCTTTCAGTCAGATTTACAAATATTATATTTTGACCTTAATCGAAATGTTCGGTTATTTTCAAAAGCTTTTTTAGTCTGATATTTCGATTCATTTTAAACAGACCGTTCAACAAAAAAAAATCTAAATATTGGATTGTTCTTTCTTAGTAAGAACCCATTTTCATTACAATTGGGGTCTTACCTTGACTTGAAGATGAAGTCCATGCTATCCTTCTGGACAACAATCTCTATTACTTTTTTGTAAAAGTCCTCCTTATCTTCCTGTAGTTTCAAAAGTCTAGCTTGTTGTTTGCGTCTACGTAGAATAACAGTAGCAACAAGAACCTGTGGGCTCACGTGCGCCCCCTTCAGGAGTGCAAAAAGCAGCAAAGTGAAAAGTAATGTTCACAATCTACAGAATAAAATATAGAATGAAATGAATGATGAATAAACAGTGAGGGGTATGCATACACTAGAAGATATACACAGTAGCCTATGAGCAGTATGAGCAGTCTGAACAGTGTGTATGAATATGCTAAGATATATAAAGTATGAAAATGGTAAGCAGTGCAAGTATAGTATAATATTTATAGATATTAATTTCAGCGCTCAGCTCGAAATACCATGCGGATGCGACTCGTTGGTTTCCCATCAAGCATTTCGCTTCTGCAGCTCGTGGAGAGAAACTGCGCCGCCTCGCTCTCAAGGCTGCCGGCGTCTTTGTCCCGCGAGATTTCAACGTCTCATGTAGGCGAGCCTCCAGAGCAAGTCGGACAAAATGACTAACCATCATCCAACGCACTAGCTGCAAGACGGTGATCGCAATTGCGCAGGTCTGCGTCGGTCTCGCTCATCTCAAACAAGCCTATTGTCTGCTCTCTCTCTCTGTGTGTGTGTGTGTGTGTGTGTGTGTGTGTGTGTGTGTGTGTGTGTGTGTGTGTGTGTGTGTGTGTGTGTGTGTGTGTGTGTGTGTGTGTGTGTGTGTGTGTGTGTGTGTGTGTGTGTGTGTGTGTGTGTCAAAACAAACTGTGAGCAATCTGTGTCATGTGAGAGGTTAATGATACATCAAGATGCAGCGAGTCTCATAAAGAATGAGCTCATGATAGATAACCATTACATTCTGTACTTGTCAATAATGTTCAATCTGTGATACTGTTAGAAAGAAGTACATGGCGTCCTTAGGAAGATCATCTGTTTTACAGTTAGTTTTGTGGCTTTTTCAATAAATAGAAGAAGGGCCGCAAAGGTAGCATGAACAGTGACTACAACGTTCAAGGTCAGACCCACAGAAACCTACGATGCAATAGAAAAGCTCAAACAAAATCATCTTACTTGAAAAAAGAGAAATTCTGTGGTACATTATTTATCCTTTAAAATCTTTTAGATTTAAAAACAAGGTGTGAACGCATGCACATATATTTTTTATTTTTAGTTTACATTATGTTGTTAGATATCAGTGCCTTGTTTACAAAATTAAATATATTTTGAATATAGCCTACTACTAATTTGGAGCCTAGTTTCCGGCCACTCTAAGAAATGTAATCCAAATTTCATTGCTCTTTTTTAGCTGTTTTTGGTCTCTACCCACTCCTGAGGGAAATATCTGGCTCTTTTTCTTTCAAATGTTTCACTTTACTACTTTGGTGTGTTTTTGCTTTAAACAACACTTTGAGAGAGGTGAGAGCGACCCAAAAGAGTAACGTTGGGGACAGGAATACTAAAACTATGAGCTAAAGTTGCTATGAAACTCTCTATATCTGCTGAATCAGGCAATAAGTGGGGTCACTACAAGCAACACATGTTTTACAAATAGTTATCCAATCCATTATTAATTCCAAAATGTACTTTAGTTCAATGGAAACATGGCGAGAAAGCGTGAGCCAGAGCAATTTGGATCAAAAGCAAAATGGATATTTTTGTGGGCGAAAATTAGGGACATTGGACGATTGGAGATAAGAGGCTGAGAGCGACACTGACAAAGACATTGCATCAAATCTAGGGGTTTGACATGTGTGTGCGCGCGTGTGTGTGTGTGAGGGGGTCTCTGCCACCTTGATAGAAGAGTACATTATGGCTGTTTGGGCACATTAAGGCACATTAGCTGGAGGAGCACCCCTGAATAATGCATGGCCCTTATTTATGAGCAGAGTGCATACGTCCTCTGAAGCGCACTGAAGCAAACACACACACACACACACACACACACACACACACACACACACACACACACACACACACACCATCAGTCACTTTGACATGCTCTCAAAATGACTACATTTGGCGAACTAGTGTGAACAAGCATGACATGCCCATGAGTGATTGTGTGTGTGTTGGTGTGAGAGAGCAGTTCGTGTCTGACTGATAATATCTTGAAGACATCTCCAAATATCTTCATGCCGGCATTAAAAGAGGCAGCAGTATTCTCAGTGCGCTCTGCTGAACGGTCGTCAGGTCTAACAGGGCAGCCATGGACTCCATTAACGTCTCACACACAAACTTTTAGACACACAAACGCAAGCAATGCACTTACATGACAGTCATCTTCAGACTTTCGACAATCAAACACTTTAAGTGACATTTTTACGATTGACTCCTCTCAGTTTCATCATAGCGTGCTGAATGATCTGGCCTCATCCGTTACCTAACAGTTTTGATCCAAGTGAAATATCATTTAACATCTACGCTCACGGAAATGACTGCAGGCCTAAAAGGGAGAGCCACATCATCTGCAGGAACTTGTTCACTTTCGTATTACTGACAGATAAATATCACGTAACTTCGGATCTATTTTATGTCATTCAGAATGCACAAATATCAATTTCGTTTATCGTACTAGCTGAAATATTTCACCTAACAACCTTTGCAAGTTGGTGCTAGTTTAATTTCAAAATGAGTTGTAAATGTTTGTGTACATGTTAAATGCTTGTTTGTAAATGAGCATCCTCTTGAAAATGTGTAACCTATCAATAAACAATATGCTCTTTTTACTCAAGTTTATATTTAGCTTTAAAGACACGTACTCTTGTTGATCCATTCAGGTATTTGAGAGGCACTTTGACGTCAGAGTTTGGTGAATCGGTCGCTAAAAAGGAATCAAATCCACAAGTAACGGCACCGAAAAATCGAATTAGACAGATAATAAAGCAACATCATGGTTTGTCTTATCAGAATGCACATTTTGTCTTTACTCGTGTTAAAAGGTTGCCTTTCGGCCGGCAGTCAAGAGTTAGATGCCGGGGTGATGATGCAGTGCTGCTAGAGGAAGGTCATTCAACAGTGTTAATAACCTTGGGGGGGTTGAATCAAACCGGCCAGTGTCAGGGTGAAGATTGATTGGTGAAGGGTGAAGTGACTCCAGCTTAGCAGGGAAATGCACATACACACACAAGCACACTCACACACACACACACGTACACTGTTGGGGCCGTCAGACCTCAGCCTCTATGAGGTGACACAGACTCCTAGTGGGTGGCAGATGGAGGAAGTGTGTTATTATGGTCCCACCCTGTGTTCTGGCCAAGACCTGCAGGCGTGGACAGCAACACCAAACTGTTACTTCATAACCCCAGAGAGTGAGGGAATCTTACATCTTGTCTTTAACCCACATTTTAGAAGACTTATTCACAACGTCGTATCTTAAGCTGCTTATTCCAAAATGATGCATTAATGTTACTGCTGTAGATGTTGAAGGCTGTGCTAATGTTGCACGGTAAGGTCAAATATAAATTCTCAAGCCCAGTTATCATTGTTAAGCAGACATATTTTAGGTTAAGCACACAGAAATCACGAAGGCCATCAACTCAAAAGCATTTCGACCACAATGACATATAGAGAAGTTCATTTACAATTTTGGGGTTAAATTGGCTCTGGATTGTTTGCCTATAGTATTTCGTTTTTTATTTTATTTTGGGATTTGTGATTTTCCTTTCACGTACTATCCTGCACACGGAGCTCAGAGGTCAGCGACAGAGCAGCTGTCCTGTGGCTGGCTGGGTTTCACTGTTTGGCTCAAGGGCACAACAGCAGGATTAGATTTATGTCAACACACTGGGCTCCAGCCAAAGGTTTCAGGCTGAGAGATGATCATCCAACTCTCAATGCACATCATCACTTAACCTGAGTGAAATACTGAGAGAATATAGAGAGACTTGACCGAGAGATAATAGTGTAGTTGATAATATATATCAAAGTACTGGAAATGTGTACGTTTGTAGAGA